GCTCTTTATTAATCAATAATCAACTGAATACAAAAAGAGGCCATGATATGCTATTTATAAGAAAATCAGAAAATATTAGAAAGCCTTAATCCTAATTAAAATAGGAAATATATCAAAATACATTAAATAGAAATAATACATAATTATCTTAAATCTAGCTATGCGCTGCATCACTCACGAAAGTCGTGCTCCGTGCTACAGGGGATCCTGGAGCATAGCTCAGCGCACGCCTGCGGGATACTTGCAATATAATCTTTCAATTTAAAAGTGAACGAAAGATCATAGGTCGCGGGTTCCTCTTCAGAACCACTAGCAGCGGCTTCAACTGAGGCGGTCTTCTCTGTCGACTCCTCTACACGCTGTTTTTTCTTCGATCCCTCAATAGCGACCTCATTGGGCCTCTTTTTCCTGGTCTCCTTATCAGAAACCTTCTTCGCGACCTCAGTAGAAAGGTTTGCCACTCGCTTTCCCACCTTCTTCGCAGCGAGAGAAGCCTCAGCGGCCTTCTCGGTCTGCAAAGAGACTTGATTGGATGCTCCCTGAGCGGCGACAGAAGGCCCAGCCTGTTTAACGGTCGCATCAGTCCTTTTGCTCGGAGCGGGAATCTCTTTAGCAACGTCGGTGTAGTTGACCCTCTTAAACGTGGCCTTAACCATTTCTTTCCTGGCTTTCTTTTGGCGGGATTTCCTCGGCTTGATTGGAGGAAAGGTATACAGTCTAAGCGGAGCGAGCTCAAGGGTATAGCAGCCTGCCAAAATAGAAAGAGAAACCTACTTCAGAAAGCAGCCCGTTTTAAGCCAGAAACTGGAAAATGATGAGGATAAGATCGAATTCCAACATGTCGTAATCCGTTCTTGGCACCTCTGAATTATTTGCTCGAGAATTCCAGCAATTTGAGGCTTCAGCTTCTTCAAAAGAGGAATCAGCATCTTCTCACCGGGCTTTGGAGCGGTCAAGATCGGCGGAACTGAGTAATCTGTAAACAAAGAAGAAGATTAGGTGTCAGCCAAAACAGGTAAACTCGTAAACACATAGATGTTAAGCCTACTGATTATAATGTTCTAGCCAGCCCGGACTAGCCACTTCGGATTCTCGACGGAGGCCGCGTCGATCTTCACAAAGAAATACTCGAACTCCCAATTGTCGCATTTATCATTAATGGAGCCTGGATTCAACCACGAGTTCCCAGTACGCGCCGATACATAAAAACAACCTGAAGGTTTCCGCCACTTCAGTTGGGTCATCGCCTCAAAAGTGTCACAATCGCACTCCATTCCATGCTCAGTGGCAAGAGTGAGGCAGACCGCAAAGTTTCGGATTGAGGCCCAGGTGATTTGAGAAACAGCTATACCCCGCCGGGCACACTACTGGAGCAATATCCGGGGCAGCGGAAACCATAGCCCGCTCGCCGTGAAGAATGACTCGTACAAACACATATACCCTACTCGAGGCGTCTAAGGGCGGTCACTCTCTCCAGGCACCAGGAATTCGACGGTCTTGGAGAGATTCCTGGCAGACCGCATCGCCTCCAAAGACTCAAGGACGACGTGGTCCTCTGGTCGTCAAAACGGACTATTTTATGTGATGACCTAGACCGGGTCCTGGAGGGTCCCTCCTCTCCAGGGTCAAGATCGATAGACCGAAAGAGTCGGGATCCTCTTCGACCCCCATCCAAAGAGGGCCACATTGAGACCGCCCGTGGCTATATCGGGCTCCGGGAGGAAAGGATCCAACTACTTTAGGAGCCTTGGAAGTTCCGATCTCGACAAGGCGACGACCAGGTCGTGGACCCTCGACCGAGCTAGATTCTGCATCGCCTTCCTCTGAGATACAGGCCTTTTGAACGCGAGCTATGGTCTCTTCCTCCATCAGCGATAGACCGTCAGACAAAGATGCAGATGACGAACTGACCGATTTTTGCTTAGGAGAATTTTCACCGGAGGAATCAATCTGAATTGGGGAGGATATCAACCAGATGATAGAACAGTGATCTCTTTGAAGCAAGATCAGAAACTAGGTCAAGATGGTGAAGTCTTTGAAGATCGATCGGAAAGTTTAAACTAAGACGGCAGACTCGGAACAACAAAAGCTATCTAACGAAAAACTAGAGAGAGAATGAGAAAGAATATACCTTTAGAGAGGGAAGCGAAAGAAGCGAAGTGAGGAGAAATGAGACGAGAGCTCCTCCTTTTATAGACTCAGACCGAAAGACGAACCGTCGCACCTCGGGAGAAGCATTAGGGCGGCAGAACGGATCAATCAGAAGACGACTTCGAATTGGGCTTCGCTTGTCGGGCCTAAAAACAGCGAAGCTCGGCCCATCCCATTTCGCTGACTGGGGGGGATACTGTTGGGCATGAACTTGCGATCCAAACGGTCTACGAACCGACGGTCAGCGGCCCATGAACAATGGAAGCCCAACGCAAACAGTAACTACGGTCTGGTTAAATATGGGTCAGATTCGGTAACTACAGTTAATAAAACATAGGATGTACCCTCAACCTTGTACTATAAATAGGAGTACAATGTGATATGACCATTCGTCTTCCATTCCTCGGAAAAGATTACAAAGGACCAGAGCATTACCGTTCAGGTCTCTAACTCTGACAGAGAGCTCGCCGGGAGGTCACCACCAACCGGAAAACACCGAAAACGTTTACATACATTTATTAGCTCGCACCGAACCGAGTAGCCCGGGATTTGTCCGGCCTACTTCACTCTCTTTGATCTATAGCAATCTGATAGCTCGGGATCTGTTCTGACTGTCAGCTGCGGTCTACTTTGTAACACTTATTTCGGGCTCAAATTCTAATACACGAAATTCTCCGACCTCCTGTCTACTACAAATTCATTGTTAAGTTCTTCTGGGTTAAACAGTGTCTAACCTGTGGATGCTGTATCATGCATGTTCGTGATGAGAAGCTCTTTGTGAATGACATTGTGCGAGAAGAAGATTTTGTCTTAGAGCCAATGGCCTATGGAACGGAACCAAGTTGATGTATGACATCTGGTTCTTGACGATAGTCGAGGAGCCGGAGATATTATGTGTACAAAAGGAATGGAAAGATGCAAAAAAAAAAGAAACCGTTGATGTGATTGTTGTGTGTTACAACCCTGTAAACTAAGACAGTGTAAAGGCAATTGTCGAACAGAAAAATGGTAGTTTTTTTTGTGAGTTTTGTTTGTTGTAATAAAAAATAATTGGCAATTCTCAACATTCTCAGAACAGTGCGATGGACCCACCCATCGCTAAAGCCGATATCATCACAGCTCAGATGCCCAGGAATCGAACCCGGATCTGTACCGTGGCAGGATACTATTCTACCACTAGACCACTGGTGCTTTGATGCTCATACTTTAAGAACTAAATATATTAACACATAATTCGCAGCCTCACAAACAATTGTCAACTTTGAAATAAAAGACAATTAATTTATTGTTATAACTATATAACAAACGGATAAGTATGTACTATGTATTATAAGTGGTAATAAGAGAGAGAACGAGAGTAAACATAAGAAGTATTAAAGCTTTAGTGAATAGGTTTTATTTCTTTTCCGTTCATCTTCCATTTGCATAAGAGTTTGCCTATATAAGCAAGGGAAATGAATATTAAAAGAAAGGCCGATTTACCAAGTCGGTACAATTTGAGATAAGTTTCATTTAGAGATAAATTCTATTTTAGATAATCATTCTTTATTATAACACG